AAACTCAACTAATTCATTGATTCATTTATTTATTAGTTAATTAATTAATTAACTTATTAATTGATTAATTGATTACTATATTTATTTATCTAGCTTATGAATATCTCATCGTTAATCAGGTTAGGTATTCGAGCCCATGTATTTCTCGCTAAATAAGCTATAAGTCTAACCAATGCACCGGATGAAGTAGGTCTAACATGATGATGAAAATAATATTATTATTAATAACGATGATAAAGATATTTCTAGAGATTAATGATGGCGAAAACAGCTGAGAAGCAATGATGGTAATGGTGATGGGGATGATGATGATGATGATGATGATGATGATGATGATGATGATGACGAGGATGATGATGATGTTTCGCTGAATCAATGAGTGTCTTCATTCATTCCTTCATTTATTCATTTTGAGATTAAAATTGTACTTCTACATGTAACTATTTATTTTATAACGATGTACTTCGTAATTATGTATGTATTATGCACAAATAAACTGTTTTCAATCTTCAATTAGTTTAAGCACGGGAGTGGCGAAGGACACTTAAGTCATCTAGTCTGCCACCCCCAAGAGTAGATTAAACGTGAAGCATGTAGATAAGATTGTACCATGCACACCTGACAGCACGCCGGGCAGGTCCACTTTGAACGTATAAGAACGGCCGAAGAATATTATCTTGCGAATAAGGACGAATAAGTGCGAATAAGTGCGAAGTGCGAATAAGTGCGAATAAGGACACATTTGCTGCTATTCGCACCGTCGCGGTGCGAACAAGGACACATTTGCTTGCTATTCGCACCGCGGCGCACACACACACACACACACACACACACATACTGGTACAAGCTCCCAAATGAGGACTAGTGTTTGGAACCAGCCAAATGAGGACTAGCCAAACCAAAAGTTTCAGAGTTTACAAATTTCGTATTATAACTGCTTATAGTGTATGATACTACACATGCTGTTCAGATTTACTGTAGTGTGTCAGTTTTTCGATATATTACCAAATATATTTTTGGTGATTTTACTTAACAAACCAGGTCTTCAAATGAACAACCCAGGACCCCAATGTAAATAAAAAGCACGTGATATGTCAACGTGTGAACAACTCAGGACCCCAATGTAAACAAAGCAACATTGTGTGTGTGAACAACCCAGGACCCCTAATGTAAACAAAGCCACATTGTGTGTGAACAACCCAAGACAATTAATGTAAACAAAGTCACAGTGTGTGTGAACAACCCAGGACCCTTAATGTAAACAAAGGAATCGTGTATGTGTGTGTGTGGACAATCCAGGACCCCATATTTAAACAAAGTCCTATCGTGTGTGTATGGACAACCCAGGACCCCATATATAAAGATAGCTATATTGTGTGTGAACAACCAAGGAACCCATATATAAACAATGGCATATCATGTCTGAACTCAGGACCTTTAAAAACAAAGCCATATCATGTGTGTGAACAACCCAGGAACCGTATTGTAAAAAAGCCGTGTGTGTGCAAACAACCCAGGAGCCTTAATGTAAACAACGCCATGTCGTGTGCGTGAACAACCCAGGACCCCATATATAAACAAAGCCACATTGTGTGTGTGAACAACATAGGACCCTTAATGTAAAGAAAGGAATCGTGTATGTGTGTGTGTGTGTGTGTGGACAATCCAGGACCCCATATATAAACAAAGTTCTATCGTGTGTGTATGGACAACCCATGACCCCATATATAAAGATAGCTATATTGTGTGTGAACAACCAAGGACCCCATATATAAACAATGGCATATCATGTCTGAACTCAGTACCTTTAAAAACAAAGCCATATCATGTGTGTGAACAACCCAGGACCCTTATTGTAAAAAAGCCATGTGTGTGCAAACAACCCAGGACCCTTAATATAAACAAAGCCATGTCGTGTGCGTGAACAACCCAGGACCCCATATATAAACAAAGCCACATCGTGTGTGTGAACAACCCAGGACTCTTAATGTAAACAAAGCCCCATTGTGTGTGTGAACAACCCAGGACTCTTAATGTAAACAAAGCCACATTGTGTGTGTGAACAACCCAGGACTCTTAATGTAAACAAAGCCACATTGTGTGTGTGAACAACCCAGGACCCCAAGGACGTAGGACCAGTGGTAATAATTTTATGCTTTTATAATGCAAATTCATATTTAGTTTACTCATCAATTAAGGTTATGTTTAAAACAACATAAACTATATAACACTTCAAGTTTGACTGTATCAGTAGTATCTATTACTCAAAATTATTGAAACATGAAACAGTTTGAAAAGAAAGTTAGCTTTTGCAGATTAAAAGTTTAGCAGCTCACAAAAGTGAATGCAGCCTCATAACTTTGCTGCATTATATGACTTTTGTTGACATTTAAATGTAATGAAAAAAGATATTCCTCACACAAAACCACGTGAATGCATTTGTTTTACACACAAATGGAAACCTTTAAGTAGAAAGATAATTGAGACCATTTCAAATTATTACCCTTTTGTCAAACAAAGAATCTACCATGTAAACCTTTTAAACAAATCAAACATTATAAAAAAACATAGAAATACACCAAGTTTCAAAAAATGAAACAGCAAATCGCTGAAAGAATCAGTGGTTCCTTCTTGAAGAACGCTTCAGAGAAATAATCTTGTTATGTATGAAATATTTTACGTCATACCAATCACATGACATTTTTAATTCTGTGATGCACTTTAAGCAATCAAGTTTCCCTGGAACTTTCAATACTTTAAGGTAATGTTCCATAACCCTCTCAATCTTGTGTTTTTCTTCTACAGAAAATCCAGGTCGTTTAGCTGAAAATAAGGATTGTAGAATTAATGATTAAATTGTTTCAGTTATTAAATCCATAAAATGTCATACATATCATGCAATATCATTAACCTTTGTTAAAGCCTCTATCTACCCACTATGTACAAAGTTGAGACTGTATTTTGTTGAAATTATGCCCATCTCACCTATGATTAGCCTCTCCGATTTGACGTTGGCAGGACATAAATACATTGATAAAGTGCCTTTAAAATATTATAGTTATAAAACAATATAAACTATAAAACAAAACTGTTATTAGTGTCAAACTGTCCCACACCTTGCTTGAGCTTTTCTGAGCATACTGGCCTTTCAGTACTCTTCTCTGCCATATGCTTGCTAGTCCTCTGGAATTTTTTTAAAACACCAGTTTGCTTCTCACCTCTTTTACTCTTCTGTCTTTTTCTATCAGGCTGGTAGCTGTTATCACTGTCAGAAAGTCTGTGGTGTCTTTGAGTTTGCTTCTGTTCTACAAAAACATTTAATGTAACAAAGATTTCAATTTCAGTAGGGAAAACTAATCAGTTTAAAACTAAATTGATGGAAAACCATAATTGTGCAACAATGGGATAAAACTTTGTCAAAATGAAAAAAAATTCCAATCTCAAGTCCTCTTATATAGGACCTAAAACCTTGATAAAGGGAGCAGCATAAAATATAACGGAAAATGATGCATCAACCTACCAGCTAGACTGGCTGTGCCTTCATCTGGTAGAATAGGTTTGCTGACTGAAAGAAAATCCACATCTTTGTCAACATTGTTTTCTATAATTAATTATAGAATACATGTTCAGTATAGGGTGTAAGCAGTCAAGAGGTTTATGCTCCAAAGACTTCAAAGAGTTAAGCCTCCTAATGTCTCTTTTTCACTTACAGGGAGCTGTATCATAATAAGTTAAACATAATTAGCTTACGCTTTTCTACAACGTCATCATCTGAATCTTCTATCACTGCAAATACAAAGTCTTGTTTAATATCTTTCCATTCCAACACTATAATCAGTCCTATTCATTCAATTCACATAATACTGGTTCAATACTGTGTCAAACGTGAATTGTCTTTGATGGCAGGAAAGTATGTGAAGCATGCAAGCTTATATGAGGACTGATAATGAAAATTATTATCATATTAGAAGCAAACATGCTTCACTAAGTTTATAGTGTACAAAATGTGTTAATGCATGAACCCACCTTCCACATTGACGTCAATTTCATCAAGGTCCTGGCCCTTGTATGTATTCTTCCCACTGTTTATTGCCATCAGTACTTGGGCGACTTTTGCCTTCTGCAATACACTCAATGGCAAGCGGTAGAATTGCCTATGTATACGAATGTCATGCCCCATAAAGTCTGCTAGCATATCCTAACGATCCTCACCAAGCTCCCACACTTGCGTCATGGTTGCCAGCTGTTTCCTAAGTTTTGTTGATGTAAGCAATTCTGGTTGCTGAGCTCCACATGCAGAAGCACATTCAGAGAGAACAATATGTCCTCTATAAGGAGACAGACAGTTTCCTGGGCGAGCAAACAGGAGTGGCTCTTCATCATCTACAACTACTGTTTCTCTCATTGACAGCATGTAATTTATGCTTGCTACCATACCCTCTGTCAGAAGTATTGGTACTCTTCGACCGTGCTTTCCTTTGATCTCGACACGTTTTAACTCGGTAACAAGTTTCTTCTCAAAAGTGTTAAGGTGTGATAGAATTTCACTGTCTGCTATGTCGTTCATGAGACCATTCTTGTAGTCTGTTAGTTTTATTCTTTCTGCCTCTCCACTTCGTTTGCGATTAAACAATATAACTCTTGTAAGGTTGACTTTTGCTAGCTTTGCATATGTGGCACTATTTTTTGGTTCTTTTTGATAAGCTGATGCTTTGTCGCTGAGATACTCATTAAGCTTCACTACATCTTCAAACAGTGGTAGCTGATTTGTTGTGTTGTACTGTCGGTCCTCTAGTGTACTTTTAGCTTTGCTTGCAATTGTAGTAAACTCTACTGTGTGCAACTCCAAATACTGGGACGCCTTTCTTTCTGCTTCTGTGTCGTCATTTCTAATAGCTAATGCCCTTGCTATGACAGCACATTTTTTTTAAGAAATTTTAAGCTTCATGGCAAGGGATGGCTTCTTATAGCTTCCAGTATCTATATTATATCCAGTGAGCAATCTCACACATTTTTTCATGTCATCAAAATTAGCAGGCGACAGAAAATCCTCCAACTTCGTCATGTCTTGTTTTACTTGAGGTCCAACATTTACTAACCTAGCTATTTCACGCAATTTCTGTGCAATCATGTTCTTTAAATGGCTTTTGTTAATATATTTTTCTACCAACCTTTCTCCAAACTTTCTAATGAGAGGATCCCTTTCAACTATTGCAGTGATGTTGTCATCTTTCATAGTGACCAAGATCTTCTCCAGAGAAGAAGACGATGTGGAAAGAAGAAGGCGGCCATGGGCCTGTGCTGCTCCTCTTTTAATATTACCTATCCTAGAATTCGCTGCACAATGTTTCTGGTGCTTCCATAGAGCCTTTTTGCTATAACTTGCTAAACAAAATTCACAAGGCAGGTAGTCGTTTGTCTCTAAGCCTGGATTTCTTTTTCCCATCCTACACTTTTGAAGTACCATGCCTTTGTTTTCTGTCCTTGCTTTTAGATTGTGTTTAAAGTCACCTTTGCCCACTAATATTACCCATGCCCCTCTTCTACGTTTTGACATCTTTGGCATGGCAAGAATTTTAGCCACTTCATGTTCTTCAGAGTGAACTTGTTCCATATGACGAGGCACCTTTGCATATAATTTTTCACAGTACATGCAGCAGTGCTGCTTAGATGTCAAGGTATTTTGGAGAAATGCACCTGATTGTGCAGTATATATTGGTATTGTATCTGACATGTCTGAATCATTATTACTTCCTCTGCTGACAGTATCATTTTTATTTCTAGTGTTGCTGATACAATCTCTTTTGTTGTTTGTGCTGCTTACACCATCACCATCCTTATTTGAGCTACTCACAGTATCTTGTTGTGTACCGCTGGCACTATCCATTTCCCAATCTGTACTGCACACATTATTCTCTTCCTCATCTGTACTGCTAACACAATACTCTTCCCTATCTGTTCCGCTGACAGTATCCTCATCATCTCTACCGCTGACACAATCCTCTTCCCTATCGGTACTGCTAACACGATCCTCTTCCCCATCTTTACTATTGCCATGATCCTTTTTCCCATCTTTACTATTGCCACGATCCTCTTCCCCATCTTTACTATTGCCACTATTCTCTACCTCATCTTTACTATTGCCACGATCCTCTTTCCCATCTTTACTATTGCCACTATTCTCTACCTCATCTTTACTATTGCCACGATTCTCTACCTCATCTTTACTATTGCCACGTTTTTCTTCCTCATCTTTACTATTGCCACGATACTCTACCTCATCTTTACTATTGCCACGATTCTCTACCTCATCTTTACTATTGCCACGATCCTCTTCCCCATCTTTACTATTGCCACGATTCTCCTCCTCATCTTTACTATTGCCACGTTTTTCTTCCTCATCTTTACCATTGCCACGATCCTCCTCCCCATCTTTACTATTGCCACGATTCTCTTCCTCATCTTTACTATTGCCACGATTCTCTTCCTGGCAATAGTAAAGATGACGATCCTCTTCCCCATCTTTACTATTGCCACGATCCTCCTCCCCATCTTTACTATTGCCACGATTCTCTACCTCATCTTTACTATTGCCACGATTCTCTTCCTCATCTTTACTATTGCCACGATTCTCTTCCTCATCTTTACTATTGCCACGATCCTCCTCCTCATCTTTACTATTGCCACGATTCTCTTCTTCATCTTTACTATTGCCACGATCCTCCTCCTCATCTTTACTATTGCCACGATTCTCTTCCTCATCTTTACTATTGCCACGATTCTTTCCCTCATCTTTACTGCTGACGTGATCCTCTTTGAGTTTCTCATAAATTTTGTGTGCTAAAGACAAGATGTCAAAAAATGTGGCATTAATAGAAAGCAATACATATTATTTCTTTGTACAAAAACAATCACCTGCATTTTACAAACATGTTATATTCATTACTCTTAAAATAGCAAACCATACTACAGAATTGTTTTAAAATAAAATTTCAAACTGAAAAAATAACAAGTAAATTGTAACCAAGTTTATCATTTACATGTAGGTGTGACATGAATGCGCTATAGTAAAAATATATATATAACACTGAAGGAATGACATGAATAAAAAAGCAAACACATCTTAACAACCAGTAAAATACAAGCAGTGTTGTACAACTCGATATAATTAGTGCTCCAGAATTTCACAGGTGAAATGAACTTAAGTAACTGCGTGCAACAATCTTCATTTGACTTATTTTCATTTGTTTTTAAATTAGTCACAAACAAAATAATCAACAGGTGATAGATGGCTTACAAGAAAGTTGGGGTACATGTAATGCGATTTCCAATAACTAGCCAACCTATATCCTGACCTTGACATTTACCGCAACTGTGATTAGCTGGAGGTAAATTGCTACTGACATTCTAAACAACCTTTTCTAAGCATGTAAAGGCATTTAGATGTCTTCACCATTTCATTTTAAATTGTAATCTAGTTTATTAGCAAAACTTGTGCAAATTAGAGAAATGCAATATAAAATATTATTAGGTCAAATAATTTATTTATTGATATATTTATTGTTCCTCTAAAAAGTGCAATCTTAGTATCTAAATATGGAAAATATAGAGGGCCTTTATTTGAATATAAAAATTTACATAAATAAAGCTAAGGCCTATACCTCTTTCCAGATCACGCCGAAATTTTCTTTGGACCACCTGTGACTTTGTTCTTAACGATTTCTGGACAGATTGTATAAGGTCACCATCTCTTTCATAATTGAATGGTCTGGAATTCGACTTGTCTATCTCTATTCTACAAAAGGATTATTCATGAACATGTAAACATTATCTGTCACCTAATTACTATAATGCAGCCCAGAATAGTGCTATAACCATAAATGTTCTACTCATATTAAAAGCATTTCAGCACACTTCTGTTGCAGTCTGAAACCTGATCCATATATACAACATCAAAGAAAAATCCCAAAACACAGTTTGTTTTATTAACCTTTTATATTTAACCTACATTGCATCTTCATCCCAAAATGTCCCAGAGCCATCGGCAACAAGACCAGGCCACCATATTCCATTTTCTATTTTGATCCAGAATATCTCTGAAACACACACAAGTACAACGTCCAACACACAAGTACAACGTCCAACACACAAGTACACACACGTGTACAATTCCATTTAGAGATTGGAAAATGAAACTAACATGAATGATGTATAATTCACAAAAATGAAGGCAGAGCTTTATTTGTAGCCTACGACTAAACTTTAAAATGGAAAACTGTAAATTTTTGCAGATGTCCAATTAAACAAATAATGTTGAAATCAATCAAACATAACTGAAGTTTATTATGACATATTATTATTTGTGAGCTGCTATTAATAAAATATATTTTCATTAAAAAAAGAAAAAGAAATAGCACAAGCCTGACCTTCCTTTTCACAGTGGCCTTGATTAATTATCTTCTTTCTTTCCATTTTCTAAAATGTAACATGATAATATTCTACTATGAGATCATAGACTGTAATGTAAAGACCTACTGTACTGTAGCAACTACATAAATACTGTAGGACCTACTGTAAATAACTAGGCCTACTGTTATTGTATGTGTCATTGTGTGTAGGTGTGTGCATGTGCATGCGCGCAGATGTGAGTACTGTACCTACTAATATAAAGTAGGACTGTATAGTAATAGTATATACTTAAAGTACTGTACCTATACTATTGACAGTATTGTGTGTGAGGTGACAATTCGCACAGAGGATTTGGACGGAATTTACAGGAAACTATCGGTAATAATAGGTGAAAGAGAGCAGAGAAACATTGAGAATTTGGTAGTAAATAGATTTCGTATTTATTTAGCATTATATTTTATTGAAACGCTTAATTCAAGGGCCTGTGGCTATACTATATTACTAGAGCGGCTGCCGTGCTATGCCATGCCGTGGCGTGTAATATCTGTGGCGACACCCCTTTTAATTTGCAACAGCAAAATTATTACTACTAATATTAGATCACCTGTAAGTCGCCTGCATACATGTTACATATACACATGGTCTAATAGTGGAAACATTACTCACTAGTAGCCTTATAAGTTAAAAATACTCTTACCATAGGAAACGTGCAGTAATTGTAGCAACAACAAAATGGGCGCCATGGATATCCCATGAATCACTGGGACGGTGGGACCATAGATATCCCATTGGTGCGCAGGCAACCACGTGGCTTTAAATACCCTCTGACGTCACTTGCTGGAACGCACAGCGGACATCACACACACACAGTCTCTCTCTCTCACACACACACACACACGTGTGTGAATTGTTCAGTTGATGAAAAGTACCAAATGAGGACTAGATCTTATAACATTACTCTCAACCCTCTGAGCTTTCTAGGAAAATATTAAGCCAAAAACAACCTAGGACTTGAAACGAGGTCCTAGGTTGTCACTGAAGTCCTGAGTTGTTTGGTGTGTTTTCATATGCCAGCTAGGTCCTGTCAGGTCCCAGTTTGGCAGCGTATACGCACACACACACACACACACGCATATATAAACACACACACGCACACACATACACACACACACCCACACACACACACACACACACACACACACACACACACACACACACACACACACACACACACACACACACACACACACACGCACGCACGCACGC